CTTATTATAATCGATCCGGTAATTATTGCCGGGCTGTAATCCGAAAAGAACCAGGCTACCATCGTTATTACCGCAATAAGAAGGATGATGCACCTGCACGGAATCAACGTTTGGATTGCCGCCTAAGGTAACCAGAACAGAATCGATTGTTGTATCGGAGCAGTAGATCTGGCGCGCATAGTACATCGTCGTTGTGGTAGGCGTTACGGTAACAGTATTCCCTGTACCGACAGGGATATTTGTACCATAATACCAGTTTATATTACTGTTGCCCGCTGTTGCGATGGGGTTAAAGGTGATCGCATCTATTGTATAACCGGTGGCACTTGTAGGGGTGAACCTGTGACTGCTTCTGGAAGCTAACCAGGGCGTGGTTGGATAACCTCTTCCCGGAACCAAATGAGCAATTGTTCCGGTTGCATTCTGTAATCCCTGTACGGCATCAGAGCCCCAGGAAGTAGCAGCACAATTTACCTTATTGCGCAAGTGCATTTCTATAACATTCGTCCCCTCGAAAAGAACTAACTGGAATGAGGCCTTGATATTAATACATGCCTGCGATGAATTCCACATAGGAATATCGCAGAACGTAACTACGAATGCCCGGTTGGGAGCCGCGCCAACATAGGCATAGTCGATGGTACCGCTGCCTGCCAACGAAGGATCCAGGTCGGTAAGGTTGGCCATCACACAGTTCAGATAATTGGTATTACCCGGTATGTTGCCGCCTGTGTTGGGGTTGTAGTTAGAGAAGGTACCCGGCGTTCTTGCATCAAAGGATATATACCCGTTCGAAGATATCCAGCATTGTGAATAAGTGTTTCCGTAGAAGGTAAATGGAAAGCCGATATTAATAGCGCTGGACCATATATCATCGGTGGTCAGTGCCGTGCTGGTTGGCGTTCCTGTCCCCGATCTTGCTCTCAAAGTAGCACTTTGGCCGTCGCAGATAGTGGTGTCCGGCGTAAGGATCGTTACCTGCGCCTTAACCGTGGTTACAGACAGCAAAAGAATACAGAACGCAATAAAGTAACGGGGTAGTATTTGTTGCATAAAAAAGTAATTAGATGCTTTCATATTAGTAAATTGGTTTAAGGGAATGTCGGATAGGGAGTACTAAAATAAAGAAATTTATTAAAAGGTTAATTAATTGTTAGGGTAAATTTTCAGATTTATAATTCATATAAATACCTACACTATGAAATTCCCTAAGCCGGCAGGACGATACAACAGGCTTTGTTTACCTCTTATTTACTCAGTCAGGCAGCACTTACCCCGGTGTATGGTT